TTCTGGATGATCCGGGAATGAATCCACGTCCAGGCTCCTTCAGGTTTCAGCAGAATTCAGTTCCTCGTAGTCACAGGAATAAGGTCTACACTTCCTTCCTGGTTGGCAGCCAGAGGTTCTTTTCAGCTTTTAAAGGCTGCTCACACCTTTTGCTTGTGGCCCTCTCCCTTCACCTTCCAAGTCAGCAAGGGCAGGTTGAGTCCTTCTCACGTTACGTCTCTTTGACCACAGCCAGGAAAGGTTCTACACTTTCAATGCTCATGTGATTAAACTGGACCTACTCAGATAATCCACAATAATTTCCCTGGATCTCAGTGTCCTTACTCTTCACCACCTCTGCAAAGTCCCTTCTGACATATGACGTAACATATCCCCAGGCCCTAGGTGTTAGGATGTGGCCATCTTTATGGGGCAATTATTCTGTTTACCATACAGGAGTTGACAATCCATATAGTCCAGGGGCCAAATCTGGCTTGCTACCTATTTTTGTAAATAAGATTTTATTGGCACAGAGCCACAGCCATTTGTTTATGCATTGTCTGGTTGCTTTCACACAACAGCATAGTTGAGTAGACGTGACAGAGACCACTACAGCTCACATGCCTAAAATACTTACTATCTGACTCAACTGAAAATGTTTGCTGACCCCTGCTCCAACAATAGCATAATTAATCTAAAAAAATTTTGAAGAATGTCAGTAATGTATTATGAATAAAAATAAATGGAATTTGAAATGTAAGTGGGAAGGATGCTTACTTAAGTTTAAAAATTCAGAATATAACCCAAAAAACTGTAGCTAGAGAACAATTTCTATCTCATTTTCAGCTGTTGGCAGAGCTATCAATCTGCTTGTCTAGTTAGCATTTCAAGACTCTCCCATAAAAATTACCAAGAGCTTTAAGCAGGCAAAACATCCGAAATTTATTCCAAATAGACAAAAGCAAGGCTAGAACAGTAATTAAAAAGTAAAAGGATAAAACGCCCCTTTGTAGAAATTACATATGCATAAACTGGACTTTCTAAGCTCTGCCAAGTGATTTTTAGCTCCTTAGGCTGTTATCAGCCTTTGATATTCATGAAAATACCCACTGATGAATACTGGACTCTCTTTCCATTGTCTCGCATACCTACCTAATGGTAACAAGCATACTCATTACAATCTCCCACTGCGTTTCCATTATGATTTACAAAGGCCATGGCTCAATATTAATTTTAGTTTCCACACATAAAACAAACTCCTTAATTTGTTAGCTTGATCCTGCTGGTATGCAAGCAAATATGGTAAAGAAAACAAAACCCACAAGCCCAAATTCCCATGAGACCTTTGGTGAATGTGACCAATTTGAGAACTAACAAATAAACCTGGTGGATTTTTCTCAACCTTGAAAGACAGCAGGTCCACCCTGCATGGACCATTAGAGTTGTCGCTCAGAGGAAGAAATAAAAAGAAAGGCAAAACTAGGCCGCAGAGACTGCAGGCCAGCAGAGTCCAGTCTGTCTTTCCACTAGAAACGGAACTACACAAAGACTTCTTATTGGGAAAAAGAATGGGAAAAAGAAAAAGAATTTCAGGCTTCAAAGTTGAAAGAGCATGAGATAACTAAAATGCATTTATTTTCTTATTCTCCTAACTCATTTTAAAAGCTAGGGATGTCATTCACCTTGGAAAGTCAGAGCACGCTCAGACCAGTCAGACCCAAGGCATCCTAATAGTGGGTGTGTGTATGTGTGCGTGTGTGTGTGTGTGTGCGCGTGTGTATATACATATAGGTCCACTCTACTGTACTTATCTAGGTCTTAATAATTGCTTTCAATAAAATTATTAACTTTCCTTATGCATTACAGAGTCTAACAACATTGATAAATATAAATGTCACACTGAGGAAACCTTAAGTAATGTGAAAAACAAAATTCTTTTTCTGGGAAAAGCAAATTTGATATTTCTTAAAAGCAATCACTTGCTCTGCCTAAGCACAAAGGACCACAAACCCTTACTACAGGTTATGACAATAAAGCCATAAGCCCAAAAAACTGAACTAAGAATCGTATCTTATTCCTTAATGACTTATGAGCTGCTTAGAACTGCAATAGGCTTTGCTAAATACAATTTGAATTTCAAGATGCCATATTCTATTACCTATTCCTGCCAGTTCCCAAGGACCTTATTATAGCTGACATATTTAAATGCTATTTGTTAAAAAGCTCTTTAAAAGAACACATTTAGTTTAGAAAATATTAACAGGCTTTTCCCTATACTCATTATAACTATTAATTCCCACTCTTCATATTTTTAATCTACACAGTATATGAATCAGATATAATCTGCAAGTCATTATTCTTTCCTGAGCTCAGGAAAGTATAGCAGATACTTTTGATATTAGAAAATAAGTGAAAGTAGGCAGACAATATTAGAAATATGTCATATCTAAAATAGTTCAATTTTGAACACAATAACAATGAATATATATATATAGTTACAGTTATAATGAAGTTTCAGTTTGTTCTAATTAACTTCAATTTTCATGTTTAAGATATATCTTTTTTTCACACTTTAGTGGAGACTATTATATTTCAGTATAGGCCCTTTTGGTTCTCTCTCCAATGGAAATAAACTAATATAAGTATATAGAACTTTGTAAGAATCTTTGTAAGACTGGTAATAAATATTAAGATACTCAATAAATCAGTCATATATTCCTTCCTTCAGTGAACAATAAAATATTTTACAAAATCTAACTTGGATGTTAAGTATAAATACAACAAGCATTAGAAATTCAAAACAGTTGAGCATGAAGGACTGTATGTAGTGTTCAGACAACAGTGTGATAGGTATTTATAAGACAGAGGAAAGGAATGAGGGGTCCAGCAGCCCAGAGAGGCTGCACTGTGTGGTGGTTAGTTGGGAGGGGGGGCTCTGAGGACAGCACAGGCCCCACTGCAGGTGCGGAGAGGACAGAAGTGAGGCAGAACATCTCACAGCATTTTCTTCTCCAGCGTAAATCTTTCCTCTTTCTCTCCTCCCTCTGCTCCCTTTCTGTAACAAATATGTCTATATTCTTTTAAATCTAGGCCTTCTAGAGTCAAGATAGTATTGTTTTGGGAATCTGGTCAGCTCACTCAAAATATTGAAAGACAGAATTAATTCTAAGTGACTTGAGACAACTACCTCACCATTCTTATATTCTGACTTTCATCGCTACTCTGGGATCTAGCTGGTGCTTAATGAAATCTATTGAGTGTACACTCTGGTTTCTATACATAGAAAATATTTTTTTGAACATGGTTTATCTCTTGTGTAAATTGGCTGACAAAATATGGCCCCAGAAGAGAAAAGTTTGACTCAAAGCTTGAATCTGTTCATTCCAAATAGTTTTATTGAATTGAAATAGTGAGACTGTTTCATCAACACTGTTTTTGAGGTTACTCTTTCTTCAACTTACGAAAAAAAATGTCATTTACTTAACATTTTCTTTCAATTCTAAATACTGACTTTATCTTTATTTAGAGAAGTTTGTGAATGTTCATTTGCAGGAGTGTTTTGCTGTGCCTTTTCAGTAAGCAACTCAGGGAATTAATATCTCTTCCTATTTTTGACCAATGCTTGTAACTGGATAGATATTACCATGATAACAATAAAAACAAATAAGTAAATAAATATTTTTATAACAAACTTTGAACATACAAAGAAATAAGTTCCTTACTCAAAAGCAGTGTTAAAAGTATATCCCAGTTTTCAGTGCAATGATGACATTAGGGCTGTTCTAAGGTAGATATTGCAGAAACAAAACACATTCTTCAAGTTAGATAGAAGAAATATGGTCAAATTTTGGCAAAAGTAGGAAAAGACCTAATAGTTTAAGTATTAATTCTGATGTTTAAAAGCTATTGCTGAGAGATTTGAGATTTTCTTTAAACAATCCAGGAAGCCTGAAGCATCTTAGTAAAAAGTGTTTTACAGGGAAGATAATTGATATTTTTTATAAACCCAAGGCTGACTTTTTTGGGAAATCAGAAATTATAAAATAGCAGAAAATACATAGGTTTTGTAAACCAAAGGATGTGAGTATAAATTCCATTATGTCATTCACTAAGTATATTGAATTCAGAAAATGACAATCACTTTGTGCTTCCATCCTTTGTATGTAAAGGTCTACTTCATAGAAACTTTGCAAGGAATAAAGAAAAAAAACCAACTATGTACATGCAACACATGAGACTGTTTACTTGCTGAGTAAGTAAAGACACTTACTTTACCATACGGAGTATGAAAGTATAGTTAGGAAAGCCTTAACGGGAATCACCTTCCTCACCCCTACTCATCAATGATTTAAGTACTTAAAGTGAATGTATAAAGGATAAGTAGACGTTTTAAATTTCTACATAAGGACTGAACAAGATCTGAAGAATTTCAGTTGCAGTTGGATGGATTTAAGAAAGGGTTCTTGTCATTCTGGAATGGAAGATTTAAATTTAGATCACTGGAGCGCCCAGGTAGTTATAAGGAGCCTTCTCTGATCCCAGGTAGTTATAAGGAGCCTTCTCTGACTCGGCAATTTTCAATGCCACTGCACCCATTCTCCCACCCTGGAGCACCCTGGAGTTAATCACTGCCCTTTGCATTTTGTCTGTAACTTCCATTGCTGCAGGCATCTTAAATCTATGTGTTTACAAGGCAGTCTTGCCCACCACGTGGTGAGACTGGTTCTTACTCATCTCGATCTCCCCCATTGCCTAGCTCAGAGCCCAATACAGAGGTGTACAATGATAAACAATTCATTAACTATTATCTTGGATAAATTAAAGAGAGTTTTATCATGAACAAAAGCATAGGATAATAAGCCATTTCATTTCTATCTAATACATATCTTCACAACAAATTAATTCATTTGCAACTCTAAAAAGTTTAAAACTGTGTTCTGCTCTTATCGGTCAAAGGATGACTGTTAACTTTTAAAAGGTCATTTCTATAAGCAACTCAATGCCAAGTGGATGATACTTACATTAGCCAAATGAGCTAGTTCTATCTCCAGGAACGAATCAGTTGTTTTGGGTTCAGGCCTTATTGTGACCACGATGATTTTGGAATTAACAACAGTATAATTTCTGAAACAGAGTAATTATGATTAAAAGGAGGAAGGACTGATGGCAAATATGATTTCCTACTGCTCAGTACTTGTTGGGATGGCACGTTAAATAAATGATTCCTAAGCAAATACATAGAAACATTGGGCATATAGATTGGAAACATAATACTGAAGTACAATTCATGGAAAGATACAGTTCATTTTTTGTTATAAACAAACCCTATCTGGAACTAGAAAACTTTGGAGGGAAAAGCTATTGCTGAAGGTGACCATTTTAGATGCAGGAAAGATGAAAGCAACAGCACTGACAAGCTTTCAATTACTTACATCTGATTCCAAGAGAGATGGACTGTGAATCTACACCTTCAGGCAATCTTGAAATAAATATAATCCATTTATCTCAAGGTGGACCTAATAGTTTTGTTCTCCAGGAGACCAAATTTTAGACTGTCTCAACATTCATTAAGATGAATGGTCAGAATGTGGAATAGCATGGAATCAAGTAGAGTTTAAACATAAGTAAATGCTATTGCTAATTATTGATCATCATTCATTTCAGCAAGAGACTTACAGGTCACTTCCTTATCTCAATACACTCAATGTAAGGAACCTGTTTGTTTTTTGAAATATCTTACCAAGCACAGTTCACTCACAAAGAAGTTTTAAATATAACCATATTTACAAGCTACAAAAATTACCCATAAATAGGAACATATAAAACTGAACCAACTCTTCCTTGCATATATAGGTTTTCACCCAAAATTTATAAAATGCTACATATCGCCTATTATTTAGAGACTTAAAGATTTTATTGTAGTTTTAGCTATTTGAAGAAATACATATAAACATATATATATATATATATATATATATATATATATATCCTTACTTTTTGATTTGAAATAAACCACCTGTTCTGCCATAGAGCATGAACTATTCTGGGGAATACGTAACAGGTATCAAAGATAAAGTCATTTAATTTTTTTCCTCTTTTTTCGTTTTTTAAGGCATTATTTACAGATAATAAAATTTACCAATTTTAAGTGGGAAGCTTAATACTTTTGGTAATTTGCATGACCATGCAAGCACCACCAAACCAAGACAGACAACCCACCCCTCACTCTGAACAGTCTCCTCGAGCCCCTCTGCACTTGGTCCCCTCCCTTTCCCATGGTCCAGGCAACCATGGACCTGTTGTCAACTATAATTATGCCTTTTCTAGAAATTCATTTAAATAGAATCAGACAGTACACAGACTTTTGTGTTTGACTTTATTCACTTAGCATAATGTTTTTGAGACTCACCCATTTTGCTTCTCTTTATAGCTGAGTAATATTCCATGGCATAGATATACCTCAATCAGTAATCTAGTCATCAATTAATTAAGCAACCTTTGGATTGCTTTGTAAGTGAGCATAAGTGAACCCATCTTGTTATACTAAATGGCCCCAGCCCCTCCTCCATGTGACTACTCGCTGCTCTGCACGTACTCCAAAAAACTCACATGCTCTCCTGATTTATGGCCTCCACTTAAGTATGAACTCCCCAATAGCTTGATAAATTAAAAACTTTGTTCTATGAGTTTCTCTCCATGAACAGGCTGACCACAGGTGAGAAACACACCTACAAGGTATCCATCACAGCTGACAGAAGAATGAAACAATGTGATGCCTGGAGCCCGTCATGCCTGGAGACCAACATCCCTGGACCCTTCCTTACTGCCCATTTTCCCTATGTAACTGCCTCAAGATTCTGTAATCTTTGAAGATGGGTTTTTGAGACATTAGTCACCTGTCTTCTGATTTGCCAGCTAATCTAATTAAACTTCATTTCTCGATCTCTAACTTGTTGTGATTAATTGGTTCAGATTGCAGCGAGCAGAGCAAGCCCATTGCTTGGTATCAGCTTCTGATTTTTAACTTTTATGAATAGTAGCTATTCATATTTGACTATTATGAATAATTGGCATACATACTTTCTATGTGGACATATATTTTTGTATGTCTTGGGAAAATAACTAGGAGTGGAATTGCTTGGTCATGTGGTAAAAGCATATTTAATTTTATAAGTTACTGACACACTGTTTTCTAAAATACCTGTATCATCAAAGTCGTATAATTCTAATATCGTAGAACAATGCTCAATCTCACATTCTTAGTGATAATGTTTTCTCTGAAAGTCTGGTCTTTGCCACAAGATTCACCAGAAAAGAATGCTAAACTATGCCACAGTTGGAAGAATTATATTTAGTAGCAGAAGAACTATAAATATATTTTGAGTGGGATAACATTTTTTAACCCATCTCTCAAGTATTTAGTAATGTCGAATAACAAATTCTTAAACACTCAGGAAGATTCATGGTATCCAGCCTAACAGTAAATAGTAAAAAACAACAAAGCATAAATTTGTTTTTATTTTTCTTAGGGAGAAGGTAGTTGCAAACAGAAAGAGCTGGTTAACTGTGCTTTATTTCGTTGAATATTAAATGAGTCAATTGAAGATAAGCTGCATTGAGAAGGACATAAAACTAAGCTCTAAATGCCAAACTCCCTTTGCAAACTTATCCTCCCTTAATTCTCTGTAAGTAAAAGTGGTCAGGGCATGAAGTGAAAGTAGATGGAAACAACAAAGCTGTGAGGTGACACTGGGTGATTAATCATATTAGCAGATCCAACAGGATCCCCAGAGAATGACTACTTGTGCATGGTCTGGAGTTGGGGAGAATGTCCGCCTGTCACCACCAAAAAAATTATGGAGATTTCTCCCAGAGAATAATCAGTCTGAGCACACAGATGCAAGTTCCTTTATTAGATTAGCCTGAACATGTTTGAGTTCTTGTTTGGTTACCTGAAACAAAAGTATTTACACATGACCAAAATTCAATCTGCCCATTTAGTCTGGTTCTGTGTATAATACCTTCTCCCTGCTATAAACAAAACCCAATGACTGCTAATTTTAATTAGTAAATGATAGTTAATTTTGATAGTTTACAGATATTTTGTATTATTTTTAAAGTTGCATAAGTGGATAATTACTGGAAAATACAGATGTGGGTATTCCAAACAGGAATTTACGATTTTGTCGAGATATTGATGAAGTTCTGTTTGTGTGTTTGGGCACGTGGGGATTTCGGCCCTAGGCAAGTGGAAAGTACAGCAGCTGAGATAAGCAGCCCTCTGCAGGGCGTGCTACACTGCCAGGCTCATCAGCTACCCAACTGGCCTGGTGGAAAAGGTCCTAGGGGATGGAGTCTGCTTTACGGCTTTTGCTAAGTGTATGTGTGTTAACATATTTATAATACAATTGGGAAGAGATGCATGTTAATATATTTATGCAGATGGATGTGCTTATCACATTTATGTGAGTAACCCCCCACATTGGACCTCAATACAGTAACAGGTACCTGTCTCTACCACAGCATCCATTGATGCTATGTATGTCTCCTTCCACAACATTATAAACTCACTGAGAGCAAGATTTGTATCTAGCATTTATATAGACTCTTTTGTGTTATGTTTGGCACAATCTAGTGCTCAACACGTTTGAATGTCTTATTAATTAAACACATACCGAACAAAAATGTCAAATTTTTGACCAAATTAATTTAAAATGTAATGCCAATATCATGGTATTAAAATGCTTAATGAAGGAAAAATAAGCAAATTTACATTATTCAACGGCTCTCTTTTCAAAAGGTGTACAGTGTACAAAATTATCTTTAATTTATTCCATCAATTTATTCTCATGTGCATAAATGAATAGCTGGCTCCTTATGTGCCATGTCAGGCTTTGTGATCTACTAATGCTTCCTGGCTGGTACACATTTGTATTCACTGCTAGGAAAGGAAATCTTACAGCCAAATGGATTTCATGACTACAGTAATAAAGTTCTCTCCTGTCCTTGATATTTGTGCTAGTTGGTATCTAAAACATTAAAAAATGTGTAGAGCTATTCATTCAAAGGAGACTCAAGTTATTCTTCACAATTTTTGCAAAGTCTTAGGGTGCTTAGGGTACATGAACTATATCTTAAAGAGAGTAAAAAAGTGATTATAAAATGCAATGCAGCTGTTTACAAGAGACTCGCATTAGGTAAAAGGACATACAAAGGCTGAAAGTGAAAGGTGGAAAACAAAATTCAAGGCAAATAGTAACCAAAAGAGAGCAGGGATGGCCATACTTGTATCAGACAAAAGAAACTTTAAGTCAAAACCTGTAATAAGAGACAAAAAAAGACATTATATAATGATAAAAGGGCCAATACACCAGGAAGATATAACATTTATAAACATATCTGTATCTAACAGCAAAGCAGCCAAATATATTAAGCAAACATTGACAGAACTGAAGGGAGAAATAGATAATAATACAATAATAGTAGGATATTTTAGTACCCCACTTTAATAATGGATAAGTCAACCATATAGTAAATCAATAAGGAAATAGAGGACTTCAATAGCCCTATGGATCAACTGGATCTAACAGACATATACAGAACACTCCATCCAGCATCAGCAGAATACACATTCTTCTCAACTGCACATGGAACATTCTCCAGGAGAGATCACAGGTTAGGCCACACAAAAAGTCAGCTAATTTAAGAAGATTGAAATCATACCAAATATCTTTTCCAACTATAGTGAAATGAAACTAGAAATCAAAAGCAAGAGGAAAACTGAAAAATTCAAAAATATATGGAAATTAAACAACACACTCTTGAACAACCACTGGGTCAAAGAAGAGATCACAAGAGAAATTAGAAAATTCCTTGAGACAAATGAAAATGAAAACACAACTCATGACTGCAAATGAAAACTTATGGAATACAGCAAAAGCAGCACTAAGAGAGAAGTATTTAGGGGTAAATGCCTATGTTTAAAAAGAAGAAAGATCTCAAATTAACAACCTAACTTTACACTTCCAGGAACCAGAGAAAGAAGCAAACTAACCCAAAGTTAACAGACAGAAGGAATTAATAAATATTAGAGAGGAAATAAATGAAATAGAGAATAGGAAACA